AGACACAGCAACAATAAGATCACCATTGTAACCAACTATGACACAGAGAGACGCAGCAACAATAAGATCACCATTGTAACCAACTATGACACAGAGAGACACAGCAACAATAAGATCACCATTGTAACCAACTATGACACAGGGAGACGCAGCAACAATAATATCACCATTGCAACCAACTATGACACAGAGAGACACAGCAACAATAAGATCACCATTGTAACCAACTATGACACAGAAAAACGCAGCAACAATAAGATCACCATTGTAACCAACTATGACACAGAGAGACACAGCAACAATAAGATCACCATTGTAACCAACTATGACACAGAGAGACACAGCAACAATAAGATCACCATTGTAACCAACTATGACACAGACAGACACAGCAACAATAAGATCACCATTGCAACCAACTATGACACAGAGAGACGCAGCAACAATAATATCACCATTGTAACTAACTATGACACAGAGAGACACAGCAACAATAAGATCTCCATTGTAACCAACTATGACACAGAGAGACACAGCAACAATAAGGTCACCATTGTAACCAACAATGACACAGAGAGACGCAGCAACAATAAGATCACCATTGTAACCAACTATGACACTGAGAGACACAGCAACAATAAGATCACCATTGTAACCAACTATGACACAGAGAGACACAGCAACAATAAGATCACCATTGTAACCAACAATGACACAGAGAGACACAGCAACAATAAGATCACCATTGTAACCAACTATGACACAGAGAGACACAGCAACAATAAGATCACCATTGTAACCAACTATGACACAGAGAGACACAGCAACAATAAATCACATTGAAACCCCAACAAATGACACAGAGGACACAGCAACAATAAGATCACCATTGTAACCAACTATGACACAGAGAGACACAGCAACAATAAGATCACCATTGTAACCAACTATGACACAGAGAGACGCAGTAACAACGAGATCACCATTGTAACCAACTATGACACAGAGAGACACAGCAACAATAAGATCACCATTGTAACCAACTATGACACAGCAACAATAAGATCACCATTGTAACCAACTATGACACAGAGAGACGCAGCAACAATAAGATCACCATTGTAACCAACTATGACACAGAGAGACACAGCAACAAAAAGATCACCATTGTAACCAACTATGACACAGAGAGACACAGCAACAATAAGATCACCATTGTAACCAACTATGACACAGAGAGACACAGCAACAATAAGATCACCATTGTAACCAACTATGACACAGAGAGACGCAGTAACAACGAGATCACCATTGTAACCAACTATGACACAGAGAGACACAGCAACAATAAGATCACTATTGTAAACAACTATGACACAGCAACAATAAGATCACCATTGTAACCAACTATGACACAGAGAGACGCAGCAACAATAAGATCACCATTGTAACCAACTATGACACAGAGAAACACAGCAACAATAAGATCACCATTGTAACCAACTATGACACAGAGAGACACAGCAACAATAAGATCACCATTGTAACCAACTATGACACAGAGAGACACAGCAACTATGAGATCACTATTGTAACCAACTATGACACAGAGAGACGCAGTAACAACGAGATCACCATTGTAACCAACTATGACACAGAGAGACACAGCAACAATAAGATCACCATTGTAACCAACTATGACACAGAGACACAGCAACAATAAGATCACCATTGTAACCAACTATGACACAGAGAGACACAGCAACAATAAGATCACCATTGTAACCAACTATGACACAGAGAGACCCAGCATCAATAAGATCACCATTGTAACCAACTGTGACACAGAGAGACACAGCAACAATAAGATCACCATTGTAACCAACTATGACACAGAGAGACACAGCAACAATAAGATCACTATTGTAACCAACTATGACAAGAGAGACAAAAGCAACAATAAGATCACAATTGTAACCAACTATGACACAGAGAGACGCAGTAACAACGAGATCACCATTGTAACCAACTATGACACAGAGAGACACAGCAACAATAAGATCACCATTGTAACCAACTATGACACAGAGAGACACAGCAACAATAAGATCACCATTGTAACCAACTATGACACAGAGAGACACAGCAACAATAAGATCACCATTGTAACCAACTATGACACAGAGAGACACAGCAACAATAAGATCACCATTGTAACCAACTATGTCACAGAGAGACACAGCAACAATGCTAAATTATAGATACGTGGATGACACTTTCTTACTTTTTGAAAACAATTCTCATATAGACTTGTTTAAGACACACCTCTCAAGGGAGGTTCCTTGATGCTGGTGAGGGGCTCTTGATCTAGGGAATAGGATCTGCGCTCCGGTTCCCTGAACTGAGCCTGAATACCTTCCATCCCCCCTCACGTGCACTGTATAATCCTACGGGTTTAGCGCTCCGCTATGATTATAATATTAATAATGTTTAAGACATACTTAAACTCCTAGCACAAAATTATTATATTCACAGTGAATAAGGAAAGTAATTTGTTGATGTTAATGTTGTACAGTTAAGTACATATTTACAGTGTATTACTTACAGTATATTTACAGTATATTTCTTACAGTATATTACTTACAGTATATTACTTACAGTATATTTACAGTATATTACTTACAGTATATTTACAGTGTATTACTTACAGTTTTATTTACAGTATATTTCTTTCAGTAAAATTTACTTACAGTAATTACTTTCAGTTATATTTACAGTATATTACTTACAGTATATTTACAGTATATTACTTACAGTATATTTACAGTATATTTCTTACAGTATATTTACAGTATATTACTTACAGTATATTTACAGTATAAATTTCTACAGTATATTACTTACAGTATATTTACAGTAAATTACTTAAAAGTATATTTACAGTATATTTCTTACAGTAATTTTCAGTATATTTCTTACAGTATATTTACAGTATATTACATACAGTATATTTACAGTATATTACTTACAGTATATTTACAGTATATTACATACAGTATATTTACAGTATATTTACAGTATATTACTTACAGTATATTTACAGTGTATTACTTACAGTATATTTACAGTATATTACATACAGTATATTTACAGTATATTTACAGTATATTACATACAGTATATTTACAGTATATTACTTACAGTATATTTACAGTATATTTCATACAGTATATTTTTCAGTATATTTACAGTATATTACTTACAGTATATTTTTCAGTGTATTACTTACAGTATATTTACGTATAAATTTCTTACAGTAATTTACAGTATATTACTTACAGTATATTACTTACAGTATATTTACAGTATATTACTTACAGTATATTTACAGTATATTACTTACAGTATATTTACAGTATATTACTTACAGTATATTTACAGTATATTACTTACAGTATATTTACAGTATATTACTTACAGTATATTTACAGTATATTACTTACAGTATATTACTTACAGTATATTTACAGTATATTACTTACAGTATATTTACTATATTACATACAGTATATTTACAGTATATTACTTACAGTATATTTACAGTATATTACTTACAGTATATTTTTCAGTATATTACTTCAGTATATTACGTATATTACATACAGTATATTTACAGTATATTACTTACAGTATATTTACAGTATATTACTTACAGTATATTTACAGTATATTACTTACAGTATATTTACAGTATATTACTTACAGTATATTTACAGTATATTACTTACAGTATATTTACAGTATATTACTTACAGTATATTACTTACTGTATATTACCATTACTTTCTTTCCTAAGGAATTTTTCCCCCCAAAATTAATCAATAAGTGCTACTCACTGTGTAGATAAATTCTTGGAGAATTTCTTAATTACTAGCAATCCACTTCTATTATTCCAGAAAATACTGAAATTATTCATGGAAAATCAGTTGTTAAAGAAATCATTTTAACAAAATTCCAAATGATGTTCAGCTCATTAATTTACATTTTACTGACATCTAAGTTATATTAGGGAACAATCTTCTAAATTACTACAAGAAAATAAAACTTAATTCTTTTTCAGTAAAATCACTTACTGTTGGTAGCCACTTCAAGTTTAAGGATCCAATTGTAATTATTATTTTTGCTCGTATGAAGTGTATTAGCTCATTTGTTACAGTTATATAATTATATTTGTAGTAAACAATTTACGAAATATTTATACTAGAGATTGTGTACATATGGGATTATTTTTCAAGAATCTTTCTCCTCTGGCCAAACAGCAACACTCATATATATAATAATTCAGTCTGCAGTTCACAATCATGATCCGAATGAACATGATTTTAAATTATAGATATTTTGGATTTAGGTATTTTATAGAACCTATAAAACGAACAGCAACAAAATCAATATCATAATATACATATTAATGACTTAAGAAATCGTAATGACACGATTGCAAATAAACCATACCCCCGGCCGGGATTGAACCCGCGGTCATAAGAGTCTCAAAACTCCAGCCCGTCGCGCTAGCCACTAGACCAGCTAGCCACAATAAGATTCATCCAACTAGGTATATTTCTACACCATAGGAAAGTTAGCACAGGCACCTCTGTGACCACAAATGCAAGTTTTTACAGACGAATCTCCAGCTAGCGTGGCCGTGACGAACTCTAGCTCAAGTCCCTTCACTGCCGTAAACATGACACGGCAGTGAAGGGACTTGAGCTAGAGTTCGTCACGGCCACGCTAGCTGGAGATTCGTCTGTAAAAACTTGCATTTGTGGTCACAGAGGTGCCTGTGCTAACTTTCCTATGGTGTAGAAATATACCTAGTTGGATGAATCTTATTGTGGCTAGCTGGTCTAGTGGCTAGCGCGACGGGCTGGAGTTTTGAGACTCTTATGACCGCGGGTTCAATCCCGGCCGGGGGTATGGTTTATACATATTAATGTATGTACCTTGTACATCCCTGGCATTCACACAAGGAGAAGCAGCAAGTAAGGCTTCTAGGGTTCCCTTATGGCCTAAGCGAGCAGCCAGCTGTACTGGAGTGAAGGGAAAGTCACCCTTGTTGTCAACATGATGACCTGCATCCAGGAGAAGAGGCACTAGTTTTGCATGGTCCTTGACGGAGGCCAATACCATAAGTGAGGCCCCCGGGTATTCAGGATCATCCGGTGGTAGTGTGATGTTGATGTCCCCACCACAGTGGATAGCCTCTAAAACTGCATCTTCGTCTCCCTCCATCACCGCACGTACTAGAGCCTGTGGAAAGATAAGCATCATTAATAACCATCATAACCACTGATTCCACCTCTGATAAGCCATCAACAGGTTTCTGTCTGGGCTCTTAACAATGGATTTACGTAGCAAAACAAAGTAATTAATCACCATTCTGAGACTGCAACAATTCACACATTTGTCTGCTTACAGGAAATATAATGGTAGAATGGGAGAAATGTAGGGCCGGTTGAAGACAAACAACCATTGGCATCTTAGGTTTACTGAGAAGTTCACATGCAGGTGTACATGGAGACGAGCCGAGAGCCACGATGATCCCAGTTGACTGTTGACAACTTGACAGGCAAACTGGAATTGAGGACGAAACCTCTTGACAAGTGCTTGGCAAGGTGTAGGCGAGGCCTAGCACTGGAAGTCACCACCAGAGATCAATTTAAGCATAAGCCTAAGGCAAGTGATACGAAAACTGCAGGAAGTAGGCTTATATTATCTCAAAATTTTGGAACTGAAACTAGACACTTGGATCTATCCTGGGCCATCAAGATGAGTGTGAGAGAAAAAAGGCAAAAATGGCAGAAGATGAGTCGGTGAAGAGGTAAGATATACAGGTGAATAAGAGGAGGAGAATTGGAAGAGACATCTAAGGTGGAAAGAAAAAGGGACTGGAAATATTCAAGATGATGAGGTGAACAGTAAAGTAGGAGACAGACAACGAGGAGAGAGGTAGAAGAGGTGAGTAGGAAGGCAGAAGATACGTCAGATGAAGAAAATATCACAAACCAAGTCAAGAAAATCGGTGAGGATAGATTTTTTAAAAGTGCTTAAGTATTTATAGTATGTATATTTTAAGTAGCATATTTCTTTTCAAAAATGTTGCAACATTGCCCATGTAGGAAGGTAAACACTAGATATCTCCCCGCATTGCATAACCCCAGGTCCCTGGGCGTCAATGCACGCGAAATGATTAGTGCAGAGTGCTACATAAATTTTCCATTGCAATAAGTGTTAGCGTTGGAGATTTAAACTACAACAGATTTTTCAATAAAAATTTCTCAATAAAAATAACAAATTAAGACATACAAAGACTGAAACTTCCTTGAATGTTTCTCTGGAAACATCAGCCTCAACACTAACTGCTGAGGAGTTATCTTGTTATCTCAGACACATCAGCTTATTAAATGTGAAGACGGTAGGAATTTTTATTTTCAAATGGTCTGCAATATAGAATGAAAATAACTGGACGAGACACTTAGAAATGATCAGAAATTATCACATCCAGTACCAGAGTGCACATCCAGTACCAGAGTGCACATCCAGTACCAGAGTGCACATCCAGTACCAGAGAGCACATCAAGTACCAGAGTGCACATCCAGTACCAGAGTGCACATCCAGTACCAGAGTGCACATCCAGTACCAGAGTGCACATCCAGTATCAGAGGGCACATCTAGTACCAGAGTGCACATCCAGTACCAGAGTGCACATCCAGTACCAAAGTGCACATCCAGTATCAGAGGGCACATCTAGTACCAGAGTGCACATCCAGTATCAGAGTGCACATAGAGTACCAGAGTGCACATCCAATACCAGAGTGCACATCCAGTACCAGAGTGCACATCCAGTATCAGAGTGCACATCTAGTACCAGAGTGCACATCCAGTATCAGAGTGCACATCCAGTACCAGAGTGCACATCCAGTACTGGAGTGAACAACTAATATGAGAGTGCACATCTAGTACCAGAGTGCACATCCAATATCAGAGTGCACATCCAGTACCAGAGTGCATATCCAATAATAGAAAGCACATCAAGTTCCAGAGTGCACACCAAGTACCAGAGTGCACATCCAGTACCAGAGTGCACATCCAGTACTGGAGTGCACACCCAGTACCAGAGTGCACATCCAGTACCAAAGTGCACATCCAGTACCAGAGTGCACATCCAGTATCAGAGGGCACATCTAGTACCAGAGTGCACATCCAGTACCAGAGTGCACATCCAATACCAGAGTGCACATCCAGTTCCAGAGTGCACACCCAGTACCAGAGTGCACAACTAATATGAGAGTGCACATCTAGTACCAGAGTGCACATCCAGTATCAGAGTGCACACCCAGTACCAGAGTGCACATCCAGTACCAGAGTGCACATCCAGTACTGGAGTGCACACCCAGTACCAGAGTGCACATCCAGTACTAAAGTGCACATCCAGTACCAGAGTGCACACCCAGTACCAGAGAGCACATCCAGTACCAGAGTGCAAATCCAGTACTGGAGTGCACAACTAGTACCAGAGTGCACATCTAGTACCAGAGTGTACATCCAGTATCAGAGTGTACATCCAGTATCAGAGTGCACATCCAATACTAGAGAGCACATCAAGTTCCAGAGTGCACACCCAGTACCAGAGTGCACATCCAGTACCAGAGTGCACATCCAGTATCAGAGTGTACATCTAGTACCAGAGTGCACATCCAGTATCAGATTGCACATCCAGTACCATAGTGCACATCCAATAGAAGAGTGCACATCCAGTTCCAGAGTGCACACTGTTATGCAGGGTTCTGCATGACATCGTAATGTACATATAGTGGAGAAGTGTGCCATAATAGTATGAATATTATAGTTGTAAAGAATAATTTTATAATTGATAATGTGCATTTGGGGGTACTGTAAAGTACTCTAAATGTAATTATAAAGAAATTCTGTTAATGATTTATTTCCAAGCATGTTTGGGTACGCGGAGTAAGCGGGGTTGGGGGGTCACGTGACGTTGCGGTGTAAGCTGTGTCGGATGCTGTGTATTAAGATAAGTTTTGTAGTTGTGCCTCTTTTTGTTTATCCAACCAACCATAGGCTCTCAAATGGCTTCCCTGTATGCCCCCAGGCTTGAAAATGGTCGGGGGCTGGGGGAGGAGTGGGGAAAAAAAAATGGGGTTTGGGAGTAGTGGGGCCTGGCGCTGACTAGGCATAGGGTTGGGGCGGACCTCAACCAGCTTTGTTTGTGTACCCTCATTTGGCATTGGGTTTAAGTTTTTCTGTTATGTTATGTTATGGTGACTAAATAGATATTTTTTTCCAATAGGGATTTTTTGAATAACCCTTGTTCCCCCAACCCCTTTAAGTACACATACATTTGCCTTTCGTTTTGACGGGGGAAACCCTGGGGGCCTTTTTGGGGCTTGAGAAGAAACTTTACCTTTGCCCGTAACCAGGCTCAAGCCCCCAGCTACCCACCTTTTTTGCAAAACAGGGGGCCTGCCCGGGGAAAATTATAATTTTTTGTCAATTCAAGTTTGCAACCTGGAAACAAAAATATTCTTTAGGGGGTTGGTCAGGGAACATTCAAAAACACCACACTAAAAAAATAATTACCTTTTTTAAAATTTTGCGGGTTTTTAGGATGTTTTTTAACTAATACCCTGTGAATAATTTACTTTTTTGTGCAACATTGCTGGTTTTTAGGGTGTTGTTATTAACAATCCCTGTGAAAATTTTACCATTCTGTATAATATTGCGGTTTTTAGGGGGTTAAATTTTAATTATACTCTAAAACATTTCCTTTCGGCCATATTGTTGATTTTTGGGGTGTTATTAAACTTAAATTTTGTCATAATTTCCCCTTTGCGGTACAATTTTGCTGATTTTAGGGGGTTATGCTCACCAAATTTCGGGAAAAAATTTTACCTTTGCAGGTCGTAGCTTTTATTTTTTTCTGCCAGGGTTTTCTTTTTGTGTAAAATCCTTTTTAATTTGAGGATCACATGACAACCCTTGTGAAATACTACTTCATATTTTTACCTTTGCTGTGTGTTTTAAAATTTTAACATAAGTTTTGGGCGGTTAGTAAGTTTTGCTGCTTTTATTCCCAAAAGGGCTGACACGGGGAAAAATTCTTGGGAGACAGCTTTTGGGAAGGGTGACATTGAATCAAACCCCATGATGGGGACCGGATAAGGAATATAATTTTACAAATAAAAATTAGCCCTAGTTGCAGAAGAAAAGGAACGTTTAAAGGATTGATGCACAAAGATCCAGAACAGAGACCCTTTAGGAGCTTAGGGCTCAAAAAAGATAAAGAGAGGAAGTTTGCTTCTCCCCAGACACAACCCCAAGGTAGATGTTTTTTCATTTGGATAAAGCCAAAAAATTTTGGGGCCCAAATTCCTAAAAAAAGACCCAGACCATTTTTCTGTTTTTTGAAAAAAGGGCCAAAAATCCCAAGTTTTGGCCGAAAAGGGAAGGGGCGACATTACAAAAACCCAATTATTGGGTAAGGGGGGTTAAGGCTATTAGTTCTTTAGAAGGACCCTTTTGTTTATCAAAAGCAAAAAGGGGAGTTTTACGTTATAAAATTTGCCGAAAGTTACCGGCAAAATTCAAGGACTAAAGTTTTCATCGGTATCTTTGGGGAATAGGGTGAGGAGAAATTACTTCTAATAGGTGGGTCGCTAAAAGGGGGGTTAGGCAATTATGAAGGGTAATTCCAAATTTTTGTTAGAGATCTTTTGGAAATTTTCCTTCTGACCTTAAAGGGATATCTTGAGGAAAGGATCTATGTTTTTTAATAATGTTTAGAGATGGGTGACAGATTTTTAGCAACCAAAAATTTGGTAGAAAGTTACCACACCCCCAACTAATAGGTAAGTTTTCTCCCCCCACCAATTGGAAAAAAAATTTCAGAAGTTTAAGCCACCCATTTATCAGCCTAAAAACCAAAAGATTTTAAAAACCCCTAATTTACCATACCCACCGAGGGGGTTTTAAGTCAGGTGTCACAGGTCGGGATACAAGGAACAGGTGGACAAAGCCCAGTTCCCCAAAACCAAGGATCCAACCTAGGTTAAATGGGCGGGGGGCCTTTTTAACCCTTTATCACTGACATATTGCAATAAACAGGGCCCCTCACCATATTGTCGAAAGAGCTTGGGGCCCCAGGCGCGGCGATGCTTCTCCATAAATACACCGTTTACACATGATGTGGCTTGCATTGCAGCTTCCCCCAAAGTACCAAAAAGACCACTGT